TGCAGGAATAAAAGCCTCCTGCATTGATGGAGAATGTTTGGCATCTATAATTTTATTGGTTTAATGACCAGCCTTTATGATTGCTCATGTTACTTTATACCTTTTCTGATGACTCTGAAGTGCATTGCAGGCCTGAGTTTTTTTGCCTGAGGCTCCAAGCATACTTCCAGTGAGATCAGAGTTGGTTTTGCCATTGACTTTAATGGCATTATAATTGAATCTTAAGTCAGGTAGCTGTCCTTAGGCTAAGTAAACAATGGTTTGTGTAGTTGGGGAAGTTGGGATAAAACAGGAAAGGGGGTCAATTTACAGTACTTTAAGTGCTCATTTCTGTCTCCCTGTGTGGACAAGTAGAACAGTCTACCTTGCACCTAATACATGTCAAAAGTGCCTACGTGGAGAATGAGTGCATGGAAACTAGTATGCTGTTAATTCAAACACAGTCTGTGTTTTAGTGAGATTGGCTACACAGGCCCCGAAGGGGCAGATAATCAAGAAGTGCATGATATGAATGAGAGCACAGGGCATTAAGGAAGGCATCACTATTTGAAAGCATAAAAGCATTCTGAGAAATGAGTGCAGTAAAACTCCTGTGTCACTGCAGTGGAGGTTCAGATGTGTGGTTGCAAGCTGACTTCCTGTGACCCCAGCTGTAAGCATATTCCAACAGCTGCAGCAAATTGCTAAATCATTCTTGGCTAATGCTGACATCAAATTATCTAAATAATTTTTGTAAGGTTATCCTTTGCCATAGGGACAAATACATAAGTCTTTATATGCCTTCTGCTCTATTCCCTTGAGCTCTATTTGTCTTAATTTTAAAATAATACACTATTTCTTTGGCATCTGAGCTGTTCCCCTCATTACTCTTTTTTTTTTTTCCCCCTGATAAGTAAACGTGCAATTAATCTAGAATGCTGAACTTGTGACTTTGCAGATGCCAACACAGTAAGTGACTGGAATATCATCACAGGCATGAGCTAGTGACTCTCTGGGGAGATCAAAAAGAAACCAAGATGCGAGAAAATGCTGCCGTTACTATCTGCAAGCGGGTTAGCTCAATGTCACTGCAGCAAATTCTTTGTGCTTACTGGGAGTCATCTCTTAGTACCAGAGAGCAGTCCTGTCCCCAAATATCTGCTAAAGAACATCAGTAAGGACATTAAAAACAAAACACAAAACACTTAATGCTCTTAAGTCTTTGTACTGTCATGGCAATGTACTGTGGCAGTTTTCTCTTGGATGCATCGTTCTCTCTGGAAAAGTAGAGCACAGCATTTGAGGGAACTCCAGCCAGTATCAAGGAAATTATTTCTCTGATATCTGTGCAGCTGTGCCTACATGTGCCTGTGGAAAGTTGTGCTTTTTAAGTTGATCTGTCATATGGACCTGACAGCAAAAATGTGTTGTTGATGATTTTATTTGCTCACTGTCCATTAATGAGTGTAGTGGAAGTAAAGTGCCTGGGCTGAATATGCCATGATCTGCTTTCACCAGTGTTCACAGTCATCGGCACCTGTCTGGGCTGCCGTCAAGCTGCCAGGATGCATTACTGCAAATTACTGAGGAACTCTCATAGTCTTCAGGTGCTGCTCAGGGCTCAGGAGGTTCCACCTCCAGTTTTATCTAAATGCTGGCAACCCACCATGCGTTTGTGTGAGCTTGACTGCAGAAGGTCAGAGGATGACCCTGAAAGCCCTTCGGCTGTTTCTTGCCGAGAGGTGAGCTGGGGAGATAACGTCACCCGAGACGCGCTCTTGCACGAGGAGCTGGATCATTTGATGGGTTTCTTTTGAAGCCCCATGAGTGGGGAGTTGCTGCACAGCTTCTGGGCTGTGCCAGTGAGAGTGCTGAGTGTTCGAAGCATGTCAGGTAGAGGTGAGCTCTAACTAGGAACCAGAGGCTCCTCGTTCAAAGAAGGCTGGGCAAGGATCAGCATGAGGGAAGGCATTTCTGCCCATCTGGATGCAAGGACTGCACCAGGCTGGCGGCATTCATGCCAAGACAAGCAGGAGGGAACCATATTACCATGTTCACATATGCGCTACAGAGCTGGTCAGCTGCAGAGGAAGAGCCCTCCTGGTCTCTCTGTCAGGCATGGAGTAGCCTCCTTGCCATCTGCTGGGACAGATGTGGTATGGTACCCCCAAAGCCACCGCTGGAATGGAGTTGCCTGCAGGACTCCTTGTCTGGATTGGGAGCTAAATGAAAATACACTTGAGCTTCCAGCACCATTTCTAGAAACTTGCTGATGCACAGCCTTTGTCCACAGATTTCTCAGCCTCTAACCAAGCTGTGAAATGTCAGAAAGCTGGACAGGGCTCCTATTTTTACAAATGGGGAACAGAAAATTTCATTTGCTCCTAATATCTCCCCTCATGAGGAGTACAAGATGGGCAGCAGCTTTTTGGCTGTGTAGGCTGTCAGACCAGCCGTAATCAGCATGTTTTATGCTTCTACATGGGCTCCTGGCCACCTGTATAATGTCCATCTGTTGAACTGGGCGTGATGCCTACTGACACTGTGATCCAGATCATTTGAATGAAGCATGGGTTTCCAGGAGGTGATGATGTTCCTGAAGGACAGTTTGCAGTAGCATGACAAATGTTGTCCCTTCTGCGTGAAGTCTCTCCCGTGCACCACTCTCATGGTGGTGCCGTTCACTTCTCGTTACTGTAAGGCATTTGGGGAGATTCATCTAGAAGAAACGTAAACGTGTTGTGGCAATGATAGCAAATGAATATTCAGAGACAGTCCCTGGCCCTCTGTGACTGTATCTGAGCAATTTTAATGTATTAATCTTAGAGCTGTGCAGTGCTTTTCTGTGAACGGTAAATTTGCTGAAAAATGCAGTTTTAGAATACCCGCTTCTATTTGCCATCTGAAGTGAGCTTTGTTAACTAGCTGTAAGTGGGAAAGGACATGGTGAAACTGGCTTCCAGGAGTGACAGATGACCTGTTTCTGCCTTCCCCTCATCCAAGGTGCAGGGACCGCATTGCATCAAGGTGCATGCTCGAGTTCCCCTTACTGCGAAAGGAAGTTTGAACCTGCATCTCCCACCTCCCAGTGGATGTCCCAAGTTATGGGGAGGGGGATAGTCCGAAAGGCTGCTGCTGGTCTTATTCTGCCTTTTATAAGCAATTAGGGTTATTAGAACAGAGTTTGGATACTGAGGCTCTGAGCGCCTAGGTGAATATTGAAAATATTAAGCTAGGGATTTTTTTTTTTTTTTTTACCCTCAGCAACTGTGTCCTGATGGAAATGGAACAAGTTTGATAGGATGGACCCAAGTCCTGTAGCTGGTAATCTGACAGGTTGTCTTGCTGCCCCTTAGGAAGAGAGGATGGTAAAGCCTGTTTTGGGGAACAGTTAGTTAAAGGTCTGATAACAATGGAGTGAGAGGGCCCACAGGAGAAGGTACAGCCAGACAATGAATTTCTGCCAGGTCACCTTGGTCTTTGTTGGGCTTCTATATTCAGCTGTGTCTTGGCTATTTCTGCAGAAAAGAATGCCAAATGCAATAAGTTATGAAATGATTTTTACGGTTTTGTTTTGTATGTTCAGGTTGAATTGATTTCTTGCTTGGAAGACAGTGGCTTTGTCTACATTAGCAAATAGCACCATGCAGTTAGGAGCAGATCTGCAGAGCAAAACAGTAATGAAGACCCAGGCAGATTTCAGGGGTGTTGCTTCAGAACAGCTTTATTCTAACACCCACCACTTGAAGGAAATTTTCAAAGAAACTTGTAGCAAATCAGGAGACCAAATGTCGCATGTGAAAATGTCAACAAAACCTTTCAACTTATTAGGAATATTTCAAGTTTTCTGCCAAAACAAAGACTTCAAAAAATGTGGCACATGTTCATGAGACATTTCAATGCTGCTGAAGCTGGGTTTTTTTGTTGGCAATTGTTTCAGCTGAAATTTTATCTGGTGCTTCTTGAGGTCATCTGGCATCCTACTTAAACCTGTGTATCTTGCTCTGTGTGTGATTCTTGCTGTTGTCTCAAAGAGTTCTATACGTATAATTGATCTTTAAAAAAAGGTATTCTTATACCTGTTACCTGGAAATAAAGCTCCCGAAACCAAAGATGGTTTTGAAAGGAGATATTGCTTTATTCTGCGCAGGGTGCAAGGTGGAAGAATTCCACAAATCAAGCACACCAAGTTTGGATTCTGTTCCCTTATTTATACATTGAATATATCATTTCCACACCTTTCTAATACATAATCATTAACCTGTCTTCGTGCGCTTATCTTCATTGGTTAACAGTTTACTTGCATAGTCTTTAAAGCTATAGTGTCTTTTTAATTCACTGCGCTTGTGCAGGAGGGGTGGGGGGGTACTTGCTTCAGTTCTTAATTGGGTCAGTGGTCGTGATCTCCCCCTGCCCGAATTACCTCTTACCCAGTTTCTCCTGTTATGTGCATGCCCCTTTTGTTCTGCCATCCCCTTATCTTTGAAGGTCAGCAACCAGCCGCTTAGCCATCCTCCCTTCCTTCTTACATTTTATCAATGTAGCAAAATATGCGTTACTTAACTGCTACTCAAGGACTGTATTTCATTAGTATAACCAGATCTACTACTTAAAGGCATAGGACCATATTTCATTAGTATAACAAAATCTACTACCAAAATCTACTACTTAAAGGCAACATACCTATCTCTGCCTGCACCAGAGAAAGGAAAAAAAAATCCAGTGCTACTGTCTCAAGTTTTTTGTTCTGAGTCCTCTGCTGTGTGAGTGTGAAATCAGTCATGACACATTTGTCTTGGCTGCAGGAAACTGAGAGAGAGGAAGCAGCAACAAGGGCAAGACGAGCACTTGAGAGCTGAGATAGGGATCACATGCAGGAGAGCAACCCAGCTGCAATGAAAGGAAGTGCGTGTGAGCCTTGTGCAGAAGTGGCTTTTAACATGGTAAACTTTGCCTGCATGCTGAAGTCTATAGATACTGTCACGTGGTAAAGGCGGGGAGGACTTACTCATGCCCTGAAGATTACGTGGACTCTGGAAAGGAGGCAGATTATCAAGAGTAAATCATAGTGACTTTCTCATGTAAAGGTACCCTCCAATGCAGTCAACACCCCAGGACAGCAAGTGTTCCTGTTACTTAGCAAGTTTGTGGGTCAGGTGTTGGATTTTACCCATGGCTCTGGCTGACCTCCATATTGGTTACAATCAATGATACATATTTGGGATACTTTAATATTTTACGGAAATGTGATTTGTTTACTGTCAGATGTCAGGGCAGGTCAAACATCAGTCTGGGTTTTGGTATGTGTGAATGGCCTAGGATTTCCTGCCGGACATCTTGTTCCTCTTGGCATATCCAGAAGCATATGGCAAGGAAAGGTTATAGCCTTGACAGGAGGCTGGTTTGGAGTAGTATGTAAGTCTAACATCAGGGATAAAATAGACATCAGCAAATAACTATTGGCAATTTAATAAATTGTAACCTGATGTAGTTTTTATATCAAGAGATGAGAAGACTATCATATTAGAGAAATAATCTGTATCTATACATTGCCCTCCTCATAGTTGCCAACTAGTCTCTCTTTTAACTTACATGCTACAAATACCAGCTGCTTTTAAACCTACTCAGTGTGTAAATCGTGCCATCTTAAACACCAACTCTGAATATCGTTTGGTGCCTGTTGCTAAGTTTTTGTGGTGCCACTTGTCCTAAACAATTCATCGATTTCTGTTTTATTGTTTGTAATAAAGTATGTTCTTTGAGATTTCTCTCAGCTCCAGAACGAGAATTAGCTACTATGGTAGTGCAACCTAAATCACTGTACAGGCGTAACAAAAACAATTCTTACAAGTCTTACAAGTTTTTTAAGTCCAAAGTTTCTATTTAAATATATCTTGGTATTGCTTGTTCAGCATGTAACTTGGATTCTTTTTTTCGTATGCCTTTAAGAAACAAGAACAACGCGGACTTTAAAATTTCTTTTAAAGATTCCTGTGCCTGAAAAAATAAGTTGCGTTTTGGACAGAAAGAAAAACGTCACTAGAAATTATTGATTTTCAGGAAAGCTCTCAGTGTTCATTCAGGGTTTTTTGAAAAGATGTCATCAGAAACGTTTTGTTTTCTGGAGTTAGCAAGATACCAGGTAGTTTTCAACTGTCTATTCAGGTTTATGTTTTTAGAAGAGAGGCAGTGTGAGACAGTCAGAAGTTTGTCTGGACTTTCTCTGGGCTTGAGAAAAGTGTGCAGGTAATTGTAAATATGTGTATGAAGAGCAGCTTTTAGCCTGGTTTTGAAATGACTGGGAAAACCTATGTGTGACCAACTTGTTTTTCTGTTTTTTTACAGGTTCCAGAATCTGCTGTGGTCTCGAAAAGCATTTGTGGACAGTGTGAAGGTTTATAATCACAGCTACATCTACATGCCAGCTTTCTCAATGAAGACGGGGACAGGCCCATCCCTACGTGTCTATTACACCCTGGAGGACTTCGGTGCCAAGCAGGCGGTCCTTTTTGCCAACCCCAATTTCCTACGTGACATTGGCAAGTTCTGGAAGAGCAAAGGCATCCATGCTAAACGGCTTTCCACAGGACTTTTCCTAGTCAGTGCTGCCCTTGGTCTGTGTGAAGAAGTAACAATTTACGGCTTCTGGCCATTCTCGGTGGACCTGCACGGGAAGTTTATTAGCCATCATTACTATGACAATGTCTTGCCCGATTCTGGATTCCACGCCATGCCGGAAGAATTTCTACAGCTCTGGTTTCTTCATAAAAGTGGCGTACTGAGAATGCAACTAGAACCATGCGAGAACCCTTTAATCCAGTCTTCTGCCTGAGGATCCTAGGAGTCGGTTTGGGAGATCCAATAGTTTTTAATTGCCATGCTCTCCAACAGAGAGTTCTGTTTTCTGTTGATTCTTTTTAAAGGGAAAATGATCGTGGATCTGCATGGACCATAAAAATGCTACTTGAAGGCCAAATGGAATACGTCCTTAATGTATAGTGCTTTATGGAACTGGGGTGGGGGAAAGCGAACCTCTCCATCGAGTCCATTTAGCAGCATTGTGAAGATAATGTCAGAAGCAGCACAGCTGAACTTTCCGGGGGACATTTTTAAATGACCAATGTAAAAAGGGCATTAAGGCTCAGAGAGACATAGGGCCACCCACAAGCTTTTGCTGACAGTGCCAAATATGACTGTCTGTTCAAAAATCCATTTCATTCCAGATTGGCACCTCGTACAACTTTCCATTTTCCCTTTTTTCCTCTGTGTGGGGGTGTGTGTGTGTAGGAGAGCACGTGTGTGTTGTTGACTTTCTTTGTTTCTTTCCTTTTTCTTTTTTTTTTTTTCCTCTTTTTCTTTTACTTTCCCCCCCTTCTCCCCGCCCCCCCCAATGGAAGAAAAAGCAAAGGCTTAAAAGCCCCAGGAGCTGAGTACCATCAACTCCTCCAAAGGCTCTTGGAAGAGTGAAGGGTGCTAAGAATCTGGTTAGAAGAATGTCCTAGGAATGCCCTGCTACTGGGTATGGGTGGACCTACTTGCTATAGGTTTTATCAGGATAGTTTAGGTCATTGCACTTATAGCTGTGCTAATGCTATACTGTGGGCAAGAGCTGGTTAAGGGAAATTGGTCTGAAAATAAAACTTGTGTTAGAAAACCAGTAGTGAAGTGCAGCCTGCTTGCAGTTGACCTGCTGCAAGACTTCCACAGTGACTTTTGTAGCAGGGATGGTTCCTGACCTGTTATGCCGTCCAGCCTTGGGGATTAATTCTGTATTCATTTGGACTCCAGATGTTCATTGACTGTCAAGGGGATTTGAGGTGTTCAGTGGAATGCAGAATGAGGTTCTCCATTTGCTTATAGCAGAAAAACTGCAGAAATGAACGTAAGTGTCATTTAAAATGAGTTGAAGCTTCGAAAATCCTTTCTCTGTGTGACTAGCTCTTCTGCTTGGATTGTAACGTTAGCCTTAAAGACTTGTACTTTTCTTGCAAGATTGTCTCTGAGTAAAGATAGTCTGAAAAATAAAACAGCCTTTGGGAGCACTGAAAAACTGCATAGCCAGCAAGAAAAAAGTAAAAAAAAGAAAACGGCAGGCCCTTATGTAAGGCAGCCTCTCTCCTTGCAGTGCGTGAATTATGTCAGTGTGTGTATTGCACACGTGCTGCTCTGGCCAGCGCGGTGCCTGAAGGACTGTTTTATTTTGGGTTATTACTTGGGCAGCAGATGGTCCTATCGCCATATAAATGAGAAATCTTTTTGTTTGTTTGCTTTGGTTTAGCACTGTAGGACAGGAAGAGAATACCAGCTCAGTCCACAGTGCAATTTCAGCTGCAAGATGTTATCACCATTAAGTTTAAAATCCAGACCAGTGTTCTCTTTTTTTATCCTTCCATCACTAGCAGCTGAAATTCTAGTCAAAGTGTTGAAACAACAAAACTGTCATCAGGTTTCTACAACAATTTCCTGTGCTACCTGTTTTAGCTCCAAAGTGCTAGTATTTGGGGGGATGTGTCCTATCATATGTTGACAATGTCTCTCTTTGTAGACTACCAGCTGCAAGTTATATAGATATAATTAAAAAAAAAAAAAAAAAAGGCAAAATCCATGGCTCTTCTTTAAATATGAATAATTCAACTACCTATGTAGGACACTGCAAAAAAAAAAAAAAAAAATCGTGTTTTGCTTTTTAAACCTATGTTTCATAATAATATGGATATTCCAAGCATAAAGTGGGCACTGTTCCATAGGATTACAGGGCAGTGCTAAACTGTAACGTGAGATTTGGATTAGTGTTCTAGAGATTGTTGTGATAAAATCTGAATGTGCTTCTATAATCCATTTTATCTTTGTCCATATTTTTGTTAAAAGTACAGTCAACACACTGATGGAAGGTCACTTGATAATTCGTTACCTCTCATTATGTTTGTTTTATCTATGACGTGGGTACTCGGTGAGGAAGGATTTGAAAGCAAAATATTTTCTTTACTGCTTGTTATGGCAGAATTTTACTGAGCTGCCTTTCTTGGAGAAGAAGAGGTGCCTGTATGGTTTTTATTGTACACGTCAAGTTTTGCACTTTTTAGTGCTTTAAAGATGACATTATCTGTGAGAACAACAGTTGAAATATGGTGTGCTAAAATGGCACCTCAGTAGGATGCCAGCATTTCCTTGGGGGTGGGAGGGAATGAGGAGAGTAGGGGGGCACTGCCTCTTTGCTGGTCATTTTTTTTGTATTTTTACCAATACTTGGGAATTTAGTTCTGTACCTTTCTGATGGCTCTCCAACCCTTTGGTAATCCTTTTTTCTATGTCTTGGGAAAATAATCAGATTAGAAGAACAAGAGAAAAACACGTATTTTTGTAGGAAAGCTCTGTGCAGTGTTTCATAATGTTTGGCTTGTTCGTGTTCAACTGGTGCCCTGGGTATCTGGAGGTGTTTTGTTCCCCACCTCTGTAAGACTAAGACAGACTTAATCTGTAGCCTGTGGTCTTTGTGGGTCCCTTCTGATGTCTGCAGTCCTAACGCTTGCAAGGAGATAGCTCCCCAAAAAATTATGGGGGTAGGAGAGACCCAGGTTGTGTGTGATGTTGGAGAAATTGGTAATTCTGGCTCTATTCACATTTATGTAGGGTGAATATAATTGCATCTTACAAAGACAATCACGTTTGGTGGGGGAGTAAAGGCTTCCAGGATAAATCATTTTCTATAACTTCCAGAAAACTGGCAGCTGAGGAAAGAAGAGAAACAAAAATACATGTCCCTTTTGAGAGAGCAAAATCTCTTTCAGCTGGCTGACTTGTCAGTTCATGCAAATACTGGCCATCGGTCAGCCTTTTGCCCAGTAAATAAAAAGGGACGCAGGAGAGTACAGCAAGAGTTTTGTGGCAAAAGCAGTCACAAAAAAAAAAAAAAAAAAAAGAAAAGCAGCTGGGAACATTATAGTGGCAGCTACCTGACAAATGTTGGGGTAAATATGCTCCATCAATGCTGCTGCTCAGCATGAGGCTTGCCTTGTCTAGATCTAGGAGGCAGAGGGGTCCATGTTATAGGATCATTGATGTGAAATACGGCATTGCTTGCAAGGGACTGAAGTTGTATCCTTCTTTAGGAGGGAGGTCACACCATGGGATAGGACTGTACTTCTGCTTAAAGACAGGCACAGGCAAATCCAGGAGGCTAACTGTAAGCATTAACCATGAGAAATCAGCATCTCGCAGTCATGGCAAACTTTGGTCAGAGTGATTATATCCATCCAGCATTTACCTGTTGATTGGTTGCAGTCCATTGATGGCAGGGCCCTTCATCAAATCTCATTGCTTGTGTTGCTGTGTTTTCCCTGAAGTGAATTGAACTCTTAATGTTTATTTTGTTAGTGAAATTCCCTACTCTAGCTTCTCTATTTCTGCTGCCAGTCCCTGAATTTCTCTGATAGTGTAGCTAAAGCTGCACAAGTCTTTGCCAGGTTGAAAGGTACTGCAATTCATCTTCACTAAAAACTATTCAGACTGGCCAAATGATTTGTTAATGTTCCTAGTTATTAATTTTATCATAGAGGTGACAAGGTACAGAAGTGCTGGAATCATTGCTCTGCATAGGAAGCATTGCCCCATTTGTGAGTAGAATACATTAAATTCCTTTACAAGAGCTGTGCGTGGAAGATATTCAGTACTGAAATTGCTCTAGATATACTCTTTTTGGGGGCTGTATATGCTTTTGAGTAAATCAAGACCAATTTTTGAACTTGCATCAAAACTATGTAAAACTTCTTCTTCCTGTTGACTATGAAGCCTTTGGAGCTCCTTTTAAAACAGACAAGCAAAAAGGAAGCCAGCAAACCAAAATCATAGAGAAGGGGTGCATGTGCTCATGAGAATAAAAACATTTACAATTTTGGCACAGACCTTGCTATAACACTAAGGACTCTTAATCACAAATGTTGTATTTTTATAATTTTGCTGAAATGAACATACCATGTTTGGGGTGAACCAGCTACAAAAGTCAAAGGTCCAAGCCTCTGTTAGAGCTTAACTTTTGTAGAATATAGAAATATTGGCCATTTTGTCGACTTGACTACTTTCACCTTTTTGTTAGCTTAATCAAAATGACGTCATACACTGCTGAGTTTGCACCTCTGTGGGAGATGAAGCTAAGCAAAACATCTGCCTTTTTAAACTGAATGTCTGAACTGTGGTAGTTACGTAAAACCCTTCTTCTATACATCTTTATGGAAACTTGTTTAATATCTGGTTCACCCTTGCCGGTAATTAATAAGGAGAACATGAATGAGGAAACTTTTGAACCAGAAGTGAGGATGCTGAAAGACGTGAATTCTATCTCACTATTTGCTGCCTGCTTTGGTTCTTTTCTTCAGCTCAACAGATTAGTAAGTATTGGAAGAAGTCCAGGTTATATGAAGGACAGGCAGTTCTTGAAGGGTTGGATGATGCTGGAAAAAAAGATCAAATCAGTGGTGTAACAAATTGGAGTGTAGCAATTCTTGATAAAGATCCCCGGTACTAAGCAACTGTAGGACATTTTCATCTGGTAATGTCTGTGAAAAATGTACTACCTACGACCTACTGATGGTTTTCTGCAGGATGGCAGCAAAGCAAAATGCTATGAGGAGGGGAAACTGATTAAACAGAAAGGGATATACAATGGAACAGGGAATGATGATGAAGAATCTGCCCTTCCCTTCTCTCCTGGCTCTCCCCCCAAAACACATATATCAAATGGACTAACCAGCTATTATGCTGAGTCACCCTCTCCTTCACAAAATGATATGGTGGGGTTTCCATTAGCTGATACTTCCTAGTAAACAAAATTCATCAGACCTTGTCCAAAAATGCCTGTTCCTGGGCTCCATGGCTATTTGGGGAATGCTCTGGGGGCTGTGGCTGTCCTGGTGTGCTGTGATCTCCCTAATGGGTCCTGCTCCTAATGCCATGTAGTTCCATCAGATCTCCCTCTGGGATCATCTGGACTTATATTTGTGCCCCAAGAAGTCATCCTAAAGGATCTCTCTGCTCTATCCTTCCTGATGACAATC